CCTCTGGATTGGGTTCAAAATTACAAGGCTACGGAGTTGAACATTAGTAGTTGTAAACCCATAAAATTGGGTAGGCTGCTCAACAGCGGTTATAAGTAGAAAAAAAACTAAAAACGATCTGCTGGCGCTGACGTCATAGTTCACATGTGTGTGTATCCGCGGTCTTCTTGAAGTGCAAATACTCAATTGCGTAAAATTTCGTAAACTCAACTTACATTTTATGGAAATATGGACATTTTTATGAAAAATATTGTCTCATGTTTTATATTGTCTCATGCACCCCCTAATGTCTCATGCACCTTGCAATAACTTTAAAAATAATCAATAAAATTAAATAAGTTTTCGAAGCAGTTTTTTATTCATTACAAATTTATTATTTTAAAATTTGGAAAAAAATGATAAAAATTGAGCAACATATGAGCATTTAAAGTAGTTCTTTCAAACTGTGCATACGCGATTTTTTTCCGTATAATTTTGTAGTGAATTGTATTTGTTAACAAATCGAAAAAAGTCGATATGAATATCTTGAAAAATTAAAAAGTTTCTGGAAACTTCTTGTGTAGTTTTTGAAATTCTTGATAGTTCTAAATTATAAGGGAATTTCCACAAATTTAATTTTTATCATGAGGCAGAATTTAATAACAGATGATAGTACCTTACAATAATCGTCAGTACACCAAATTGTGATGGTACAAGGAAAAAAACAAAGCATGTGAAAAAGAGAACCTATTTTAATGGGATATGATTCATCATATGATTCATCATGCTGGTGTAATTTTTAATAAATCTTATCTAATGGAACATAATGATATTTGTGGAAAATTTCTTATCATTTAGAGCTTTCTGTTAAAAAAAAGTACTTAAAAAAATTACTAAAATCTTTATAAATTTTCAAGATATTCAAATAGGATTGTTTTTCATTACTTACCAAAAACGAATCTCAACAAAATCATGACAAGAAATTAGTAAATGTTTGCTCTCATGCGCAATATGAAAGAACTCATATGAATGCTCAAACCTTTATAGTAAATTTTAACGATTTTTTTTTAAGTTTTAAAATTAGGATTTTGTTATTAACTAAACATTGCTACAAAATTTTGCTTTTTCATTAAATATTTTTAAAATTATTGCAAAATAACGTAACCCTTATGAAAAAATCGAGGTATAAATGAGGTATAAACGAAGTATATTTTAAAGGTATAAAGGAGGTTGTTGTTTAAATACGTCGTAAAGGTTGAAAAGGGTGCAAATGAATANTTCAAAATGTTTTCGACTAATATTAAATAAAATAAAAAATATAATAAATATTCACTGAAAATTATTTTTGCATGGAATTATCTTTGGCTAACTGAATTTTATAATTCGCTTCAAACTTTCTCAAGATATGGGGAAATCAATCAAAAAGTAAATTAAGATTAAGGGGTTCAAACTTTAGAGCGCTCTCGTGACTAAACTATTGGATCAAACTACTTAACCCTTTATTTTGAGATCACAAATCCAAATTAGTTGAAAAAAGGTATGTATATTCAGAGAAAGTATGTTTTTGCATCTGATTTCTTAACTTAAAATATCGTCTACACTAATTAATCAGCATATTTGAGGTCACTCACTAAAACCTTCAAGATTGAGTTCCAGAACGTGAAAATCCGATCATTAGATCAAAAGCTATTCCGGGTGGTCAGTTTTTTTTTATTTTGCTCACTCTATACAAAGTAACAATTAAAACTTTGCCATGGATAATGTTTTTACAATCGGCAATTAAATAACCTTCAAATTCGAATAAAACAATACTTGAATTCAAATTTTATTACCTTGTTTCCTTAATTATTATTTGTTTTCAAAAGCTTATATAAATTAATCTCTGCGACGTGGAGTTCCAATAATATAAGTACTTTATTGCCTAATTAAATGATCTTGAAAAGTTAATAAGTGTAATAAAAAGAAACATCAAATATAATTTGTACATAACACTTTTTCTTGTCAATATCTTATTTTAGCAAACGGTGTGTGTGTTTTCTATAAAAAGAATCACCGGTAAATGTTGAAGGAAACCACAGTAAATATGATAAAGTAAAAATAGAGAAAAGCACGTGACATGAAATAAATATCAGCAATAAAACAAACTATACTGTAAGCGGTTTATGTTTTTTTTATTTTTATTTTAGATATTGATCTCATTTTACGTTATAAAAACGGCTATAAAAGTAGCTTGGAAATCGAGACTAATAAAAAATAATATAGCTGCTACCTCTTTGCTTCAAGCAAGCTTTTGAGCCACAATTTAATCAAAAGTCGTCATATGAATTGCAGTCTTACCATGCACAAGATAAAAAACTGACCACCCTGAATTATTTTTCATTTATGATCGGATCATCACGTTCTAAGACTCAATCTTAATGGTTCCAGAGGGTGACCCCAAATGTGTTAATTTTTCGATTTTTAAATATCTGACTTTTTCATAATTCGATTTCTCAGAAGCTACTTCAATAATTTCTCTCAAATTTTGCAATTTGTTTTTTTAAAATTACATTCTTTAAAATGATTTGAAAATTATCTACCTTACAATTCAAAATTTGCCCGACTAATATTAAATTAATCCGCCCCCCTATATTTTAGGGTCACAAATCCAAATCTATTGAAACAAAGGTATGCTTATTTAGAGAAAGTTCGTTTTTGTGTTTGAATTCCGTAACTTAAATTATTGCCTGCCCTAGTTAATTTGTATATTGAGGTCACCCTCTCAAACCTTTAAAATTGAGTCCTAGAACGAGAAGATCCTATCATCCGATAGCTAGTTATTCGGGGGGGAGGGGGCCNGGGGGGGGGGGGTCCTTTCTTTTTTGCGCATTGTACGTTCCTAATAAAGCTACAGACTTGATATTTTTAAAACTTGAAGTGGTTGATCGAAAATCACTTAGTTTACGAAATTAAAATTGCAATAATTTAATTTTTACTTCATTACCTATGAAATGATTAAACTCATTAAATGATTAAATCCATTAAAGCCCAGTCATAAAAAGTGGTTTATATATGTAAAGCATTTATTTGAAAAAGTACATCATCGGTTTGCTTTTTATTTTGGACATGGCTCTAAATGCACTAAGAAATCGAATAATGCGAAAGTTACTTCTTACTTTTCTCGGTTGGTTCTATCTTAGCTTTACATCTTCGCCTGGACGTAACGAAAAGTAGTTAAATAATTAAATTTCTAAAATAAGCATTTAATACATATTTATTTAACAAGTAAAAAACAGTTGAATCACTTCACTCACCGCTTTTTCCGAGATGACAAGCACGGAAGTACACAATGTGGTAGAAAACATTTTTTGTGCGCATGCGCCAACTGCGTTTGCTGGATGCTCTGTGATAGCTTAAGTTCTCAGTCACGATGGACAATAGAGTTAGTGACAATGTAACATGTAGAATAGACACAGCTCAAAGCACATACGAAGAAGAAAAAAAAAACATAGCTTAAAATGCATAGTGTTATAAGAAACTTTGTATGACCCAAAACGCGTTTTTACGATATTCGACACAATATTGGACACATTCGTAATATAATGCCGTCCACTTTCATAAATCGCCTAGTTTCTTTATTTTTAAATTAAGTTTTTTTTTTCAAAAGACCTTATACAAGCTTATGCTGTTCTTTTCACAAACTTTAAAATTATTATAAATATATCGCTGCTTCAAAACAAAAAACGACACATCTGCAGGCGTTACACGTTTGCAGATGTGTCGTTTTAGTTTTGAACCAGCGATATGTTAATAATGGAAGGAATTTCGATTTCTTAAATCGAAATCTTAACACGTTTGGATATCTGAATGCGAAGATATAGTCTGGATAAAAAATTATGCTCGTGAATTAATATACAGGGTTACGTAATGATTATGTTTAAAGAAGTACGTGAAATCTCTGGTTCATTTTTTTGAAATTTGCGTTTAACAAATTTGGATTCTTGCCTCTCAAAACAGAGGAGGGGGCGTCCCAATTTAGATAGTAAGATCCCAATAATTTTGGCAGGAAAACAATTGAAAGTTAGCACCCTTTATTGTTAATTTTGCTTTCCGGTACATTCGAAATTAATAAGGCGAATAAAAAAAATTGCTTACAGTTATAAAACTTGTTTTCAAAAAGCAATCTCATGTAAAAAAAAATTTTTTTTAATAAATAATTATTATATTTTCATTTTAATGATGCTGTAAAAAATTTTGATTTTTATCTATAGATAATTTCAACTGACAAGATTCATTATTTTAAGGGAATAGTTCGATTAGCTCTTGAGAAATGAAAATTTTAAAAAATGCAACTTCTTTGAGAAAGCAATTATATTCTGAATATTTCTATTCCATCCGTTATTCCGTTTTGATGCTCAAGAAACCCAATATTCCTACTCCGTCCGTCCTTCCGTTTCGATTATCAAGAATCCGAATATTCCTATTCCGTTTCGTTTGATCTGTCCAAATATTTCTATTCCGTTCGTCAGTCCATTTTGATGATAAAGAATTCGAATTTTCCTTTTCTGTCCTTCCGTTTTGATGATCAAGAATCTGAATATTCTTATTCCATCCTTCCGTTTCGATGATCTGGAATTCGAATATCCCTATTCCGTTCCGCTTGTTCCTTCCGAATATCACTATTCCGTCCGTATTTTCGTTTTGATGATCAAGAATCCGTTTCGATGATCTAGAATTCGAATATCCCTATTCCGTTCCGCTTGTTCCTTCCGAATATCACTATTCCGTCCGTATTTCCGTTTCGATGATCAAGAATCCGATTTCGCCAAATGAAAAGTCTGTTTATTCAGAGAAAGTAAGTTTTTTAGTCTGATTTCGTAACTCAGTATATCATTCGCTCAAATTAATTAATTTAAAGATAAACCCAGAACCATTAAAATCAAGTTCTAGTTCGTGAAAATTAATTCATTAGATCAATTGTTTTCAGAGTGCTCTCATTTTTTGCGCAACGTACACTTTTAAATATTGAAAAAATAAAAAAGCATAAATTCTTAAGAATGGTGTTTCTGATTTTAGAAACAATTGGATCAACAGTGAAAACAATTTATATACCAAGAAGGTACATATTGGTTCTCCTTGGAAGTCTTGGTATATTCAATGTTTTTGCCATGAGGACGAATCTCAGCGTGGCTATTGTGGCAATGGTCAACCAGACAACAAATGCTCATCTTCCTTCTCTGAATGCTTCTTTCAACCAAGTAGCAGAATGCCCCAACTTTATCCACGATGATACGCCAAAAAATAGTACGGTTTTTACGGTAAGTAATAAAGAAATTAAGTTACTTTTTCACCACTGTAACCATAATTTATTGTTTTCTTAAAATGATTTGTTATCAATTGTTAACCCTTTAACATTAACTTCTGCCCTCGAGTTAATTCGAGCGAGCTAAACCATCACCTCCTACATCAAGAAGCCTCCACACGGTCTCTTATGAGTAGGCCGCGCAGACTGTTTAAAAGTGAACCAGTTGTGCCCATGAATCCAAAACCTTTTATAAAAGTAATTGAGAGAAATTTATCTTATATATTTGAGAATTGAATTTGTAGTGGTTGACAAGTGAATAAGGCAAACCCATAATATTCATAAATAAAATAAATTTTTAGCCATATATTTGCTACCACTCTCTTTTTTTAACTATATTCTATATTAAATGACTCGTGCTGTAAGTGGATATCCAAACCAGTGAAGACAAGTTTATTGCCACTCCACCCTTTCAACATCTACCCATATCTATCTCGGAGCTTCGCTCCGAATTTACAAACTTTTTTCACTCAGATGAATGAGCTAAAGCCTTTTATTAGGCTGGTACTCAGATTCAAATATTAAATGGGAAAAATAGTGGATATCCTTCACAGTGGTCTGTTCAGACTACCTATACCTATTAATAACCGTGTACAATCGAGATAATTCGAGCGGCGCTGTATTTTATGGTGCTATAATTTTAATCGAGAATTTAAAATAATGTGAAAGCTAAGAAAAAAAATCGTTTTTTGATCATTCACATAGGATTGTAAGCTATAACTCTTATTTATTCAAGAATAAAATATAGCCTTTTTCCATGGAACCAAAGAGCAGTTTATCAAAATTGTCCACCAAAAGAAAAGTTGAACCAGGAGCGGCAGGTATTTTTTACATTAAAAAAGTTAATTGAATTTTTTTGGCTGGTTTTTTTCAAAAAATCTGTGAATTGTGAATCAAAATTGTGCTATGGTTAATTAATTTCGACATATGAATGAATTAAATAAAGATGATGATTATTTTATATATTTATGAATTTATTTATTTTTGAAACTGAATGAAATGCATATTTTCAAATAGATTTCAGAGTCATACTTTAGTGGTTGGACAAAGAAAAATGGAAACATTTCCAGAATTGCCAACTACTCCGCTTCTTGCAGGCCTGACAACTACTACACTTTTTGAAAAATATATTATAGAGTGGTAGACATTTAAAAGCCAAAACTTTCAATAATTTTGTTATCATTTCAAAAGCCTCGCAACAAGAAAGCCGGAATAAAGTGGCGTCGCATACAAATTTTTATGGGTGGTGGTGTGGAAAATAAGTTCAAATGAATTGAAAAAATAATACATAAATATATAAACTTAAGTACCACTAGAATAAATGTTTACAAAAAGCGTAGAAAGTTGGCAGCCCTGAAATACTTGTTGAATAAGGATAATTAAGCTTACTGTATAAAAGTGTCACCACGAGATAACTGCTGAATACTGTGCTAACAGAATAACTAACCCAGAGGGTTCTTCCTTATCTAAATTAAAATTGTGAAGATTTTCTTTCTTTATTTAACGGGCAGTTAATGTTTCAGAAGTTTTTATATGACAAAACTGTTTTCACAATTTAAAGGATCATTTATATGTTCATTATCAAGTTTTGCTTAAAGCTCTTAGAAACTATGTCATTTTTCCCCATGCAGTGTTCGGATATCACCTGCATCAGAAAGCTTTCATTACTTTCCTTTGTGTTTTTTGTTCTAGTTTTCGAATCGAATTTCTTTTCATGTGATAACATTAAATAACAATACTAGTCAAACTTCAGTTTCCATGATTAAAAGCAACTTTCAAGAATTCTCATACAAATACAAAAGAAAAAATAGTTTTTTTTTTAATGTTCCCTCACGTAAATAAACAATTAAGTAAATAATAGTTTCAATGATGAAAGCGAAAATCACCCAGGTAATACAAAAAAATGCAATATCATGCAATGAGCATTTTTTTATGGAAGATAATAATGTAGTTATGAAAAACAATTTACTTCAATAACTGATTAGAATGATTTTAAAATCCACTGCAGCAGTAAAAACACATTTATCATTTTTTTTTTCAGCACTAAAAAAATATCCTCAATCAGAAAGATTGAAAAAAACGATTAAACAATCTGGGCTCAAAAGAAAGGAATTTAAATGCTATCAATGAATTTTTTTACATATACCGAGAATATTGACAAATGCTTTAAATTCGAAGCAAAAGTTCTGAAAAAAAAGAACTGAAACTTTTGAAAAAATTTAAAACATAAAAAAACAATCCTTATTTAAAAACTGTTTTAGGGTGAACAATTCAACTGGGACACTCAAACGCAGGGGACAATTTTGTCAGCCTATTTCTATGGTTATGTGATGAGTCATGTACCTGGTGGAATATTGGCTGAAAAGTTTGGTGCCAAATGGGTATTTGGCGGAGGAGTATTGGCTACATCAGTCTTCACCCTCTTATCTCCTTTTGCTGCATATCTGGATAAATATGCTTTTGTTGCTATCCGAATTCTTCAAGGATTGGCTGATGTAAGTAGCATAATTTATATTATTTTCAAAAATAAAAATTTTTTGTAATTGATTGATAATTTAAATGATAAATCGTGATCTAAATAATAAATTATAATTTCAATAATAAATTTCAATACAAAATTCACTACCCCAAAACAGTCATAAAAAGAGTGATCCATTAATTCATAAATGATTACGACATAATATTGTGTCATGATTTGAGCAAATTGCTTGTGGCTCAAATGTTGTAAGTTTAGTTTGGAATCTTTAACAGTATAATTTTTTTTAATTGTGTTTCTAATGGTTTTTTAAGTAAAGACGAAATTTAAGCCCAATATTAAGGATTGCATTAAAGTACTAAAAAAATATTTAAGAAAAATTGCTAAGTGAGAAAATCTTTTTACAAACGAATGTACTTACCTCTTTCTGTTATATTATTAAAAAAATGTTATTGAAAATTAAAATTTAGTACATACTTCAACAAACATGAAATTATTCGAAGCCACCACTCCATGATTTCAGTGTTTGACAACCCTTTAACCTTTACGGGACGGGCGAGTCATAAATGTATTTGTACGGAACCAGAATGGAAAAAAATAAAAAGCGGTAGCTTAAATTTAGACTAGGCTTAATTTTTATAATTTAAAAGTCTTATTTTTTGCTTTCATTTTAATTCTAACATATATATCATACCTGCCACCTTTTAATCCCTTCCATTATCATTTTTCCCAGTGGTATTAAAATGGAATTAAAACTTCAATTTTAAGCAAACAAATGCGTTGTATTTGAGAAAACTTAAGTTAACAACCATGATAGTAACGCATATTAATATATGTGCTTAATTTTTATAAGAATAGTGGTGATCAAAATCATCTAAAAATTAAGTTTATAAAAGAAAAAATAGTATATACTTACTACCACTTTAAATATGAAAATAAAATCTTTCGGAATATCCGGAAGAGTTGGCAGGTATGATATAAATATATAATTTTTATTTTGTGTAAAGTAGTGATATATTAAGTAAATCAAACTATTATTATTACTCCTCTCCGTTACCACTTTTGAAAATTTACAAGATCCGTGGGAACACTGTCATATATCTATGCTTCAATTTTTTTTTATGTAGTGATAGACAAAATTTCTTTATTTCCTATTAATTAAAATGTTAATATATTATATTTGCTAAAACTTTGGAAAATATTTTTTTAATACAGCAAAAATTCCGTTGTAGTTAAAGGGTATGATTGAGTGGAATGTGTAAGCTATGCCATTTTTATTTTTTCTCAGAGGAAGTAGCTTAAAAACGATTTAATGACATGATGTTTAACACCTTATTCGTTAAAATTCATTTAATTATCCAGAACTGTATATACAAGGTGTTCCAAAACGACCGCATAAACTCTGCGCAGCTAGATTCCTCGTTGGGAGTACATAAAAACTGCCCAAAGAAGCGTTACTGTACGATCCATAGTTTGCGAGAAAAATACGAATAACAAAGTATGACGTCACTGCCGGTGCAAGAAAAGACACTTTATTGAACATATCAACAGCAGTATACTATGCGCAATTTAAAGCAGATGTTCAAAGTTTCCGCCGTGCATGTCGAGGCAGGCTTGAGCACGCCATGGAATGGTCCAATAAAGTGTTTTTTCCTTGCACTGGGAGTGACGTCATACTTTGTTTCTTGTACTTTTTTCGTAAACTATGGATCGTACAGGAACGCTTCTTTGGGCAGTTTTTATGTACTCCCAACGAGGAATCTAGCTGTGCAGAGTTTATGCGGTCGTTTTGGGACACCCTGTATAGATATAAATATTTTTTTTCGGGGGGGGGAGGAGAAAACTCGTACTATCAAGAAAAAAAGCATAATGATTATTTATGTGTTTGCAGGGAGTGACAACGCCTTCCATAACGGCAGCTATCAGCAAGTGGGCACCGAAAGTTGAGCGAAGTAGACTCTCCACTATCATCTTTACCGGTATTATGGTAGGGAACGTGGCATCCCTCTCTGTGTCAGGGTTGCTTTGCAGTACAGAATTCCTCGGAGGATGGCCTTCCGTTTTCTACTTATTTGGTAAGATTTTTGATTTTTCTCTTAACAAGTGGGGAAGAACAAAACCTGGACTAGGGTAGTCAAAAGCCATTCTATCCTAACTAACTTTCAGGAATTTTATAAGCACCGACTAATGTAAAAGCTTATGTAAAACGATTGTTTAATTAAAAATAATAGCTGTTGTCCCGACTTAGGCGTTCACAGTTTAGACGGCGAAGGAAAATTGTTTCACTTCAGGTGGTTGAGTTCGAGATGGTAATTTCATATTTGGTGGCACTAACCCAGACCTACCAACTCTACTGGATATTCCCGAAGATTTTATTTTTATATTTAAAGTGGTAGTAAATATATACTATTTTTTCTTTCATAAGCTTAATTTTCAAATGATTTTGATCACCACTATTCTTACAAAAATTAAGCACATATACTAATATGTGTTACTATCATGGTTGTCAACTTAAGGTTACTCAAATACAACTTATTTGTTTGCTTAAAATTGAAGTTTTAATTCCATTTTAATACCACTGGGAAAAATGATAATGGAAAGGATTAAAAGTTGGCAGGTATGCAAACCCGTTTGAATCCAAAACAATTTTAAAAAATCTAACTGACAGAGAAAAAATAAAACAATTTGACTTATAATTTCTCCAACTAATCCTAACAGAGAAATAGAAAATATTTTTTTTTTTAAAAAAGGGATAATTAACAAATACACAAAGGGATATTTTGGTTTGAGACGGTAGGCACTTTATATTAGTACGTTCTAGTTCTACTAGTACTTTCTAGTCCTACAAGTACATTTTTGATCTAGTACGTTCGAACCCTACTAATACATTCGAACTAGTGTGTTCTAGCCCTACTATTACCCACAAAGTTCAAGTGATATTAGAGATGAAAAACAAAATAGCAATCTATCAAAACTTTAATATTGTGTTTTAGATATTATTTTTATTCCAGACATTGAGTGTGTGAGAAATGAGAAATTTCGTGATATTATGTATCAAACATGCATGGTTGATAATACTATATTTCAATTTAAAATGTTTCAATCACACAGCGAGTACCGATGTCACCGAGGAGCTAGACTTTTAAAGCTTTCTCAGGTAGACTTTTGAAATTTATGTTCTGCGCTTGCGCGGAGAACACAATATGCACTCACTGTGAACTCACATTAAGATAACTACACAATTTTTGAAAGAAAAATAGAATTTCGAGGATAATATTTCTGATCAGTTATTAATATATTTTCCAATATTTATTGAAATTAAAAGACTAATATTTGAAGCACGTAGTTGTCAATAATATATTTTTTGCTTATTTTCAAATCTTTCGTTTTGGCTTTAGGTGCACTAGGCGTTATCTGGTTCTTCTTTTGGTGCTTCTTCATATATGAAACTCCTTCAAATCATCCAACAATTTCAAAAGAGGAATTTTTATACATCGAACAAAATAAAGACAAAGAATCCGAAGAGGTTAGTTGAAACCAGTTTTCACTGTATGTCAGAAATTAGTTTTTCTGTATGGTAAAAAAATTTTTTTATTTAAAATTAAGAATATTTTTTTGCAGATTTATAAATTTGAGTGAAACACATTACAGATCTTTATTTTCTTTGAAAAGCACTTAATGTAGTACTTGAAATTCATTCAACTTTCTATTAGTGATTCTCGAAACATATTTTTTTTCTTCAAATAAATGGAGGCAAACAAATCTCATTGTTTATGACTAACCGAAAATTAGTAATTTGGGAAAATTGTTTAATCCCTTCACGAAACAAATAAAAACTTATTTAATATACATAATTTCGTGAAAAAAAATTATTTTAAATAAAATACTTTACATCAAGAATGATATAACAAGTCATAATTTCTTCTATCTCTTTAAAAGTTAAATATTTCGGGAAAACCAGTATACTTTGCGACTATGAAATAAGGGAACGAAAAATGAGTCAAAAATACTTTACATTGTATAAATATTCCAAAAGCACATCTTAGCTGTTATAGATTACAATTTTAGCAATGTTAGACAATTTTTTTTTTTCAAAGTTTGCGCTATCTTGTCACATTATTAACACGTTGAATGCCAAAGGGGTCACCGGTGACCCGCACTGAGTTTGTTCGTAGCTCCACGGGGGTCACCAGTGACCGGCGAAGCCAAGATAAATAAAAACACATAATTCGTGTAAATTTTTAATGCTTTTAATTTTTTTATATTATTATCGTTACTAAAATGGTTTGAAGAGATTAATGCAATATAGAACACACAAAAATTGTTTTATTCATATACAAAGAGATGCCAACTTGATCCGAACAGCGAATAAATATTTTCAAGTGGTAGTTTATAAATTGTGATTCTTGGTTTAATAAATTCAATTTAGAATATTTTTATCCTCCACTATTTCTAAACAATTTGTAGGCTAATATGATTCGCCACATGTGCCAGAATTGACTTACTAAAACCGTTATGAAAAACTAGCAAAATCTGTCTATAATTTGCAAATTTAGTTCGTTGTCATTTACCGTTTAGCCTGACGGGCAAGCTGTGTTAATCACTAAAAGTATATTTTGTTTTTACGTGCGTTAGTTTTACGAGCAATAAAAACTTTTCTGTTTTATAGAGACATGTGGTTCCATGGAAAGATATATTTACGTCCGTTCCCGTATGGGCTCTTATGATTGCACAATTCGGTCAAGGATTTGGTTTCCTGATTTTGCTGACAGAATTACCCACATACTTAAGTACTGCTCTTCACTTCGATCTAGCATCCGTAAGTATTTAAAAGACTCACAGCATGATATGATTTGGTATAATAAGACCATAAAATTGGTCAAAATTCTGCAAATGAAAAAATTAAAATTTTTCATTCAGTTTGAAACAGACAATTGAAGAACAGGGGGGAGGAAAGGTTTGTGGCCGGATACGGAGGAGAAAAACGAGGAAAGGAATAGTTGTTTTTGCCCAGTATGGTCTATCTTCACTGTGTAATGACTTTCGTGCAGAACCAACTTTTCAAGTTTTTGATTTGACAAAACTTACCAATCTATAAAATGCTACAGGTGGCAATCAAATTGCTAATTTTTTTTTTGACAAAAAGGACATACACCGTTCTTTTCCTTGCTCTTCAATTGTTTTAACATTAAAACATATTTCTGAATATAATGAACATTAACATATTTCTGAATATAAGCCGATATTTTTTAGAAAACTTTCGAATACTAAAGTTAAAGGGATTAACTTATAATCAGATCCACTAACTTTGATAAATTTCAGGAAGACATCACCAAATTAAATACTACTTTTTTCATCACATTTGTAACGTATCATTGGAGAATACGAATAATCTCCAATGATTAGGCGAAATTACCGCATTAATCACATTTACCGTAACATACATATAATCATTAAATTTGATTAAAGTCCTATAAATACAAAATTATTTAATTCTTTTCATTAATAACGCATAATAAAAGAAGGTATATAAAAAAAACTTCCTTTTAAGTATCTATATAAATATATTTATACACCTATATATATTTAGGCAATATTTATTGTTACGTTCGTTTATTATTATTAATCATGCGTTTTCATTTCATGGTGAATAATGTTGAGATGTTTTCTTTCGTATAGAATGGATTCATTTCAGCGATGGCTTACGTATTCCAAGCTGTCGTTGCTTGCGTTTCATCACTTGTTGCCGATAAGTTGAGAGAATCGGAGAAAATGTCCGTAACTGCAATTCGAAAGTTATTCAACTCAATCGGTAAGATATTATAATTATTACTAGAATTCAAAATTGGAATATCTACATTCCTGAATACTATTTACTAATATTCAGGAATGCATAGATACCAATTTGTTCCAGATAGCCGGTAAATATTTTCGAGCGGTAGTGCTTTAATGTATGATTCCTGTTTAAGTAAATTCGATTCAAAGGATTTTTACTAGATACTGCTTTTAAATAATTCAAAGGCTTATGTAAGCGCCATTTTGTTACAGCAAAGCCGTGCTGAGCCCTTTAAAAAGTTGGCAATATATATAT